CCCAGTTGCCACCACCGTTCTGCCTGCTCTGGCCTCCCCAGCCACCGCCACCGCCTCCCTGGCCGCGATCGCCCTGACCGCCTCGACCGCCAGCTCGAGGACCTCCGCGTCCGCCCTGGCCACCGCCACCTCCTCCGCCACCACCACCGCCCTGGCGATCCATGTCCTGTTTGGCAATCGCCTTCTTCACGTCCAGGCTCTTGTTCTTGATAGTGTGGTTCTTTTGGAGGATAATTTTATCCACGGGATCGTAATCATCGAACTCAATGAAGGCAAAGCCGCGCTTCTTGCCGGTGTCCTTGTCGGAGACAATGTTCACACCCACGATCTGGCCAAAGTCCTTGAAGTACTCGCGCAGGCACTCCTCATCGTGATCGTCACGAAGGCCGCCAACAAAGAGCTTCTTCACCGTAGCTCCCGCATTCGGGGCATCGATCTCCTGACGCGGCACAGCCCTCTTGGGCTCCACGGTGCGTCCATCAATCTTGTGCGGTCTGGCGTTCTGCGCGTTGTCAATCATGTACGACTGGGAGTACGTGATGAACCCGAAGCCACGAGAGCGCTTCGTCTTGGGATCCTTCATCACCACCACGTCCACGATGTTGCCCCATTTCTCGAAGTGCGCCTTCAGACCATCGTCCGTGGTGCGGTAGTCCAGGCCGCCGATGAACAGTTTGCGCAGCTGCTCTGGCTCGGTGATCTGTGAGTGCATTTGAAATGGATTCAGGGTCAGTAGACATTCTCTAAAATAAATGAGCCTTAGAAATGAATTAGCCAATAACCCCGTTTTGTGAAACCACTTCAAACTGATTTTCGGGTGGTTAGCTAATTTTAATCTAATCAAAATCAAGTATTGTTTTTAAATTAACTGATTTCTCTTGGATGTTGTGCGAAAATGTAAAAATTCCTATAACATTGATTCTATAAAAATAAATGGATATGATAAGAGAGAGTATAAACCGGTTTAACAATATTCAAATATATTATCGAGTATGTGCAGCTTTTTTTTATAAGATATATAAATAAAATGATCAAATATCCTTGATTCAAACACACATTTCCCCAAGGAAATGTGCTTAAGTGCCTACATATTGCTATCTTATCGGTGATAAGAGGTTGAAAGATATAATCACATGGGAAATTATCAGATCGCAGATCGAATAAGATTGGCCATTGTTTATTATAGTAATTTACCTGGCGAGAAAACGCCGCCCGCCATTTTCTTTTCTTCTATTTGCCCCGCCATGACAGCCCGTATACGTATATATACATATACATACATATATGCGCGTGTGTCCATACGCGTATTCATGAATTTTCGTTTTCTTTTTACGGCAAACAGCCGGCAACTTTTTTATCGGCAATTACATATATTTTTCGCAAGAAGGGGTCAATATACTTGTATCTTGTCAAGTTTACACAGGGATCGATGGCCTTCACAATTCCACGTACTTTACTTTCGGGGCAAAAGCCGCTAAAGCCACATGATATAGCATGTGCAAGAATTGTCGGCGTCGACATTTTGCACTTTTCTATGCACTGGCCAAGAAGTAATTGAACATTTTGCCACTCACCTCGTCACCATCGTCGTAGTTTCCGTTGGAGTCGTTCAGATCCGCCATTCTTGTATTGTTTGTTCTTAACACTTAAGCAGCTCCAAAGTCCAAGCACCGTCAGGTATTACTCGTTTGTTTTATTTTTTTCACAGCAAACGCACGAAAAAATAAAATGTACAGCACGCACAAAGGAATTAATACGCAGTGAGACCAGATGTCGGCAATCAGGAAATGGCAGAACATTGAGCACCGCTAAAAATCGGAACGAAATTGCATTGCAATAAGGGGGTTCATCAGTAAATGTTTTAAAATTATCTTTATCATTAAATAACTCTTATTTTGTACTTGTTTTATACGATTTTATTTAAATTGGTATCTTTAAAAAAATGGTATCAAAAAGATAAATAATAGTACATAGAGCACATATGTGCTGCTCTTAAAATTTGTCTTTATTTCTACCGCGTTAGACCAAAAACAAAATGAAATGCTATCATTTTCTTACTTATATTGCAATAACGAGATTTGAAAAAAAAAACTTTAAGAATTTTTGTGCTGCTCTTAAAATTTTTCATTATTATGTGAAGAGTTATTTCTACCGTGTACGGCCAAAAGCCTTATGACATGCTATCATTTTCTAGCTTATATTGCAATGATATTACAAAAAATACCTGTATGACGGATAATTGATAGATCTATCCAAAACCCAAACCTGCATTTATTTATGTACATAACAAAGAAATTATTAAATAAAATTATATATTAGTATTATTAAAATAAGTGCTTGCTAACATATTGCTGATATCGGAATAAAACCCTTTTTTCAATTAGTTCATATTATTATGTTTCAATTAGTTCACATTGTATTTCAAATATATTAATTATTACTTGTGAAACAAGAAGACCAACTGGAATGCCCTTAATGGAGCCAAGCGCATTGCCCGCTCAAAACATCGATAGGCGAAGTATCGTTTAATTCCACCGTCGGATTGACTGTCATACATCGCTTTCGTCTGTCACTTTCACTTCCGTTTGTGTCGAGTCGCTTGCGTTTTTTCGTGTGGTAAAGAAGCCTGATAAATAGAGAGTGCGGAAGCGAATAAATTGCAAATTTGCCACAAATATACTTCAGTAAACGGTACGTGCTATTGAGTACGATTAAGTGAAGAACAGCGTATATTTTGCTCTATTGAATTGATTCGTTTTTGCAACGGTTCTGTACACCCGGTACATTACGAGCGTGTGTGTGTGCCTGCCGTCTGTATGTGGTGGCCGCCATCTTGGCGAAACACACACAACTCGTGCATGTGTGCGTTTTTTTTCCTTCCATTCGGAAAGGACAGTCGAGCAAAATAGAGGCAGCAAAATGAAACTGTTTTTTTGCTGATTTATATACTTATATCCATTATTTTGCAGCACCTGCTCCCGATACGTAAAGAACCGTTATCATGGTGGGATCTCGAGTGTATGTGGGCGGTCTGCCCTACGGAGTGCGCGAGCGCGATTTGGAGCGCTTCTTCAAAGGCTACGGCCGCACTCGCGACATTCTCATCAAAAATGGCTACGGCTTTGTGGTGAGTACAATTAAACATTTTTTCATGTTAAAAACAAGATTGGGCATGCTTTTAACTGGTAAGGTTTGAAAGTTAGTAAAAATCAATCGACTTCAAGACATTTCTGCAGAACTCAGTTGTGTAGATGTAAAGCAACATGTCAAGCCGACGCCTAAATACCCTTGCTTGAACATAAGATCTTCACATGTGATATTACTATGCTATTGAACTGGAACACGTCTTCGCTTCTAAGACATAATTAATTAATCAGTCAAAAGGAGTGAGGTTATAGCCATTGTTTATTTTACCGGTCTAGAATATTCCTTTGCAATTTTAATAACATTAAAAACTACTCAGAGCAAAAAAAAAAATACAATATATACATAATTCTAATTTCATAAAATAATCCGGTTAAAAAGATCCACATCAGTGCCTGTTGTTTTCTGCAAAGGCAGGGTAACCCCATACTAATTCCATAATCAATAATAATCACTAATTGAATTTTCAGGAGTTCGAAGACTACCGCGACGCCGACGATGCCGTCTATGAACTGAATGGCAAAGAGCTGCTGGGCGAACGGTGAGTTGCTAGATATCGGCTCAAGTGCGAAGTGACTCACAGTTGTCTGTTCTATATTCTTGCAGTGTGGTTGTTGAACCCGCCAGAGGTACCGCTCGTGGCAGCAACCGCGACCGCTACGACGATCGATATGGTGGTCGGCGGGGCGGCGGCGGCGGTCGTTACAACGACAAGTAAGTAGTACTGCCAGCGGGACATAAAACCGGACCAAAGTAGCGACGATATCGTCCTCGAACTTCGTTTGCGTTGAAGTTTGCCCTAGAATTAGCACTGCCAAATTGTTTCGTTTGAAATCTCCATCCACACAGATGCAGCCAGCTTAAATCGATTTGTTTGCAATACTCTTGCAAAATCAATTTACAACAATTTTAAAGCTACTATTATTTAGCTATAATTATAGCGCCTTGCAATTCAACCTACTGATTTGCATAATTTTATACATTTTTTTTTGTGTAGAATTTATGTTGAGCAATAACATCTATTCATACAACTAACAACTAATCAATAAGCTGATTTCCCCTGTGTGGAAGGGACCCTAAAGACACTGACTTGCTGTTAATATTATTATTTCCAAGACGCTCCGTTTTCCTATGCATACTATGAGTTCTTTTTATTTGCACGTTACCCATCCGCATAGTATGTAAAATGTTTGATTTGTTGCGCATAACCCGAATGTAAATATGCATATGCTGGAATATTCACCATTAGCGTTGAGTTTTGTGATCGAGCAGCGGGAGCAGCAGCGCAGTGTCAATACTAATTAGCGAATCCATTCAATTATTCACCAGAAACAAAAATTCCAGATCATCCTCTCGTTATGGCCCACCGTTGCGCACTGAGTACCGCCTGATTGTGGAGAACTTGTCTAGCCGCGTTAGCTGGCAGGTAAGTGAGCATGGATCGATGTATCGCGCCTGGGGCGTGGTAATCACTGTAGCTTAGAATCGAGGAGTGTAGTTCTAGAATTATAACGGCTAACCGATTGAAATGGATCACTATAATACCCATTAATCAACTTACCCATCCCAGAACCAAGCACCCTTTTCGAGCCCCTTTTTTATTTCGAATTACTCCCCCGGTGTCTCTGTCCTGTTTTGTGTTTTAACTCCTCCACTCTGACTAGAGCCAACTCTTTAATCTGTAATTTAGCCATAAGCTGTACAGTTGACCTAGGCTTAAGTGAAACGAAAACAAAAGATACTGCTAAAACCCTGGTACTGATCGGTGTAATCTACCCACCATTACTTTCTCTTGCACACACCAACCGAAACTGATATAAATAAAGAGTTTGATGTGCTTTGACTGAGAGATTCCCTACTCGGCTTGGCCCAAATCTAAAACCGAAAGAGAATCGAATTGAATCGAATCTAATTGAATCGCCATGAGAAATACAAGCTAGTGACCGACCGGTTCAGAATGTTACCCAAAAACCATGATGTGGTGGAAGACAGAGAGAGACAGTCCCCAGAGCAGCCCCAGATTGGTTTCGATCTGCGAACTACGATCTGCGACCTACGACCGACCTCCACGATGCGCCATCGCCGCCGCCTCATCCATCCGTCTATTCGAAATATTCCAAAACATAATACAGAAAACATAAAGAAATGAACAAGTCGATCAGAATCGAACCCACAACACAAACACCAAACTGAATGCAAAACCGAAATCAGAAAGCATACGATGACGATGGACGTTGATGAGCTGCCCGGGTCAAAAGGCCAGCCCACGTATTAAAGCCCACTGATTCAAAAGACGTAGGCTGGCCCCTTGCGTTAGGTATTTAACTCTCTGCTAAAAACATTCACAATTTTAATTACCAACAATATTATATAAAGAATTGTCAAATTCCTTATAGCCATTGTGAGTGTGAGGGTGCGAATCGAATCAATCGAGTGTGGTTAGATGAGAAGCTTGCGTTCGCTAATTCTGAGATGATATGATGGTCTTGGCGACGATGAGAGATGAGCATATGACGATGATCGATCGATGACGATGACACGATGCTGGTCGCGCATTCAGTTACCAACTTCGGCTAGTGCCTCCGAACTTAGTCCTTCCCCCATTCCCGGTTCTTCTGGCTTCCGGCTACTGCTCTGGCTTACGGCTGCGGCTCCGGCATTACGGCTACCGGATCCGTCTCCGGCTGAGACTACCGACTAGACAACCAACCCAACCCGTTGGAGAAGCGAGAGAGCAGCGTCCCGAAACGTATTTCTTATTTTTGCAGTTCGTTTGTGCGTGAGGTGCCGAAGCCGCTGGTTGTTGTCCGCCTCTGACCGGCAAACTGCTCCAAATGCTCCACTCTCCGGCTCTCTGGTGTGGTGGTTCTGGCCAGCGATGTCTGCTCTGATCTGATCTGACCTCCTGACTGTACCCGGTGTGTGGCTTCCTCCGAAACTAAACGAAAACAGCTACCGCAACACTTGAATACCTTTTTGCCATTTATAATATGATTCTGTTGTACATGAAAAACATAACAAAACAAAAGTACTTGGTACGTGGCCAAGCCTATCCAAAACGAAAACCAAATCCAATGTAACAAAACGTAACGAGCTCCGGCCATCCATCCGCTCATCCGCCTGCCTGGCCACTGGTTCTCTGGCTGCCTGGTTGAGTTAACGATGTTCGATCGGACTTTCGATGAGGTCATGCGGTGTCCTTGGTGTCATTGGCCCACAGTTACTAGGCAGACAATCTAAACTCTCGGTGTAGAAACGATGTGTGTGTCCTCCTCTCTCTGAAAGCGCATTAAGTAAGAATTCAATTAAAACTATTTTGTTAACTTTAATTTATTTCCAAACCAAATGAACTATATCTACTATCAATTGCCAACCACTGTTAACTATGATTGTTTACGCTTAAGTTTTGTGCCGCGTGCAGCGTGGAGTGTTTGAATGTTGTGCTCGGGAAGCTCTGGGCACCTCTTCCTTTTTTCCTGGCCAAGCGAATCCTTCGTCCGGAGTGAGGTTCTCGGTTTCCACACGTAGGCAGGCGCGACAAGAGCACAGGATAGACGAACACAGGGCACTGAGTGAAGTGAGAGAGAGGGACTTGTGAGAGGCTGGGACTTGGTTAGGAGCCCCAATAACCCCGAAAACATTCTGAATGCTCCACCTGCTGCACGTGCTGTCCTTTGAGTTGCAACCACTGCCGTCGGATGCGCAATGTGCGAGACATCTGCCAAAACAATTTCACTAATTACTATATTTTCGTTTCGACTTTGTGCGTCCCTGCAGGATCTTAAGGATTACATGCGCCAGGCTGGCGAGGTCACCTATGCCGATGCCCACAAGCAGCGCCGCAATGAAGGGTATGTTTAAAAATGGAATTATTTTATATACAACTAACTACAATTGTCCTCCCTTGCAGCGTCGTTGAGTTCGCCTCGTTGTCGGACATGAAGACGGCCATTGAGAAGTTGGATGACACCGAGCTGAACGGCAGGCGCATTCACCTGGTCGAGGATCGTCGTGGAGGACGCAGCGGTGGTGGTGGCGGCGGCGGCGGACGTGGACGCTCCCGTTCGTCCAGCTCCCGTTCGCGCTCCCGATCCCGCAGGCGCTCTCGCTCCCGCCGCTCGTCGCACTCGCGCTCCAAGTCTCGCAGCCGCTCCAAGTCCCGTGGCGGACGCTCCAAGTCCAAGTCGCCAGTCAAGTCTCGTTCTCGCTCCCGCTCGCGCTCCAAGTAAGTAGAGACCATCTTGTCTTGTGGGGATCGTACTTAATATAGGTTGTATTGTACGTAAATGCTGTGTGATATATGCTCCAATATTAATTTATGTAGATTTTCTAGTCAGAAAATATTAATTGCGATCCCTGGCTTTATGTTTCATATGATTACCCACTTATTTGATTACTTCACTTCCGCTGCAGCAAATCGCGTGACGTGTCCAAGTCCAAGTCGAAGTCCCACTCCCGCACCCGCTCCCGTTCTCCCAAACGTGAGCGTGACTCCCGTTCCCGATCGCGCTCCGTTTCGAAGCGCGAGTCCCGCTCCCGTTCACGTTCCAAGTCCATCCGACGCGACTCCCGCTCACGGTAAGTTTGGCTACAATCCGATGACCTCGGCTCAATATAGACAGTTCACGATTCTTTCTTTCGTGCTTTCTTTGCTTTTGTTTGGATGCACCTGTTTGTAGCCCACCAGCAACGGTGGTCGTTCAAAAGCTCGTTCTATAGTTTACTACAATGCCTTTCTCTTGCAGCGATCGATCCGCATCGGCTGACAACAAGTCGCGTTCGCGCTCACGCTCCCGTTCGGCCTCGCCCAAAAATGGAAACGCCTCACCGGACCGCAATAACGAGAGCATGGACGATTAGATTAGTTAGCTGTCCCATTAATATTAAAGCACTTGATTTTAGACTTCTACTATAACTATTCTACAAACATTTACAAACACTCAGACACCCCTACTACAACCAAAACTAATGAATATGAAATCATACAAATCCACCACTGTCGGGCCTCGTCATTTTTTTAGTATGTAACCACAAATTGTTCTATGCCTTGTTTCGAGTTTGGAGTTTGGAGTTTCCCACTCGTCGGTGGGTCATGGGCTGGAAGATGACAGGGATCGATCCGTTGGACGGACGGGCCGTGTGTGTGCTGATTTGGATTCAAGGAGTGCACATAGGCCATGGACTTACTGCGACATGTACACCGAACACTTAAAATTGTCTATACGATGAGTAATTTCAATAAATACGGATAAATTTAAACTAAACATGTTGTTTGCTCCGTTTTGCTCCTCAAAGAAATCTAAAGTATTCGGTTTTAATCATATAAATTTAGTTTATTGTTTTTCTTTTTTGTTGTAATTTCGGAATATAAGTATATTACAAAGTCTTAGTTTCACTATTTCGCATTATTTGCCTGAATTAAAATTACAATTTCATTTGATTTTATTTATCTTGAATTTAAAGAACTCCAATGACAATTTGAACCTCATTGGCTGAAATATATTCTAGTTAAATATTTAAAACTTGGAAATGAATTAGCAATCTAAAAATCGTCACGCTAAATCAAATGCATAACTAAGTTTTATAAACTGACAAAGTTTTGGTACTAACAATATATCGTTTTTTGTTTTTTAAAGTAATTACTTGTACGAATTAAGTATACTATTATATACAAAGCACATAGGGATAAAAGAGATTTTTCTTTCCAAGCGTTTGACGTCTCGAGTGAGCAATGGGCCTTGCAAAATGCGCCGACTAACTAGAACAGATTATCGAAAATCCTATTTTAAATGCGAATCGAATCGAATGCCGTAATACCGTAAAACAATGTCCATGGGTGGTATGCTTAAACTAAGTGACTGGGGAAATCGGCTCGACATTATCTACAACTATAACTAAATGCATTCTTTGCTTAAATGCGATAGGGGGAGGTCCTGGGGTCTGAGACGGTATATGTATATATATGTCTGTCTAGCGCGCGTACGATCCGCACATTATGGTGCCACACTATATGTTGCACGTACGACGAGTTATTTGGCACATCGTGGAGTCACTGGGGTCGCTTGAGCACTGGAGTTAAGTACCTTGACACATTCGGTTGGATCGCGGAGGTCGGCTTGGCTGCGGCCACTAACTATTCCTAACGTAAACTGATATCGAGTTGCGTAATCATAATAAGTCTGAATAAAATGGATTTTCAAACGTTATCTAACATTAATCGGCTATAGAGTATGTACAGCATTAATTTGACACTTCAATTGCGTTACTTTGGCTCCTGGCATGTATCTGTGCGTTTATATGCAAATTAGACTGAAGCCATTCGCGACTTCTTTGGAAATAGCAAGCATCCTTTCCATCTGAAATACTTACGAAGAGTAGCGGCAGTTTGTTTTTGAATTTTGAAAAGGAGTGAGGTTCGCAAAGGTTCCCTTGGGAAATCCAAACTATATCGAATTATAAACGCACCTAATGCAGGTTGACTTCAGCTCGATGGTATCCGAATCGGTCTATTGGCTTCTACAGATGACTGGAGGAGGTTCGCGCTGAGATACAAAGACTACGAGTGAGTGCTGCCGTTCCATAATCTCTAGGTTCTATCGCTCGGAAGTGGCAGTGGTTTACATTCAATTGTATAGTGCCCTAGTTGTAAGTGTTGTATAATAGTATAGGTTGAGTCTCTATCATGCCGACTACATGTTGTATAGATCTATGCACTAGTTCACATTGTAAATGCACACACTCGGCATGACCAAGTCGCGGGAGAGCCTACACAAACTATCGCACATTAGCCAAGCGCCCAGGTCAATCTATCAATCCAACTATCAATCAATCGTCGTGCGCCACATTCAGTTGCGAATCTACATAAGTATTTAAGTACTATTAGAGCCTTGTTATCACTTTCGATTTGTAAGTCGTTTTTGGCGAGGTCGTGGGCCACTACTTCGTTGTTCCAGGAACCCGCCAATCCTTCACCTCCGTCTCCACCTCCATCCATAGATATCTTTATAGATACCGCCTCCTAGATGCGAATGGACAGCAGTGAGACATTGCGCTTGAGCAACGTGTGTGGCCGCAGCTCCATGCTGGCCGTGTCCCCCATGTCCGCCATGTCCACGCCCATGTAGCTGCTGTCCATGGTCCCGCGATCGGCCAGGGTGTGCAGGCTCTGGGTGTCGTAGTCGTAGTTCAAATCCTGCATGGGCACCACCTCCGGCAGAAGGTGTCGAATGTGTGTCGGCGATCTCCTCAGCTTGTATTGGTTTCTGTGGGAGAAGATCGCAGGACACCAGGTTAGTAGCTCAATCTTGTAGCGCGGTGATACACAGCATGCATGATGGGTGACATAGCCTGATTTTACTAGAATATATACAAGTTTTGGTTCTTCACATTTTCAGTTCTCAGTTACGTGATAAGGACTAGTAGAGTCAGGCTTTGCATGGAATCGGATGAAATGGAAGCTTACTCTGCATCGTTGTTCTTTCCCAAGTTGTTACTTCTGCAGATGTGCAAAGCAAAATGTGTAGTTTAAACAAAAATGAGTACACATAAACACAATACGTATTTAGAGAGGCAGAAGAGTAGGCCAACTCACTCGACGAAAGTCGAATAGTTTGAGGATAGTTCCTTAGATTATGTCTGCTCAACATAAAAACCCTCAATTATAAACTTAGCTAATGCTGGAGATATGCTGTTTTTGGCTAGATTCATAAGTCCTCGTTTTAATATTGTATCTACCAGATTGCATGGCAAACACATGTGCAGTGTGTGCAGTTCGGTGCCAACTGGCTGGAAAAAAAAGCGGAAATACTTGGGGTGAAGGACTTTAGAAGCCCCCAGACACTTCCGAGCCCATCTCTGTTCAGATTAGCCTCCACATCTCCTGATGAGAGAGAGCCGGAAAACACTGCCAAGTGCCCTGCGAATTGGCCTATCTCCTGAGCCCCGTCTTAATTGCCTAATTACGTACTTTTTGTGCCGGTTGCCATTGAGGCACATGCAGTGGCACGAGCACATGGACGAGGTGTTGCTTCCGTTCAGAGATTGGCCATCGTGTCCCTCGTAGCCGCTCAGAATGGATCCGTTGGATGTTATCACATCGCCCTCCAGCTTCACAGCCACTTGCAACGCCTGCAAGGGGTTAATCAATGGGTTAGACGGATATCTTATGGGGGATCCATGGGGGTGTTCTGAATGCCGAGTGGGTGGAGTATGGCGTTCGTGTGGTTGTGGTGATTGCATATTCTTGGTGCTCTTTGGTTCAGTGTCGTAGAGTGGAAAGCCAGGTGGTGAAGCAGTTTGTATTTGGGTTTTTGGGGGTGGTGTTGGTCGAAAGTATTGGAATCTGAAAAGCCGCAATCACCTCGTTGGTCCATAAACTGGACTTGGACATAAACTAAGCTCGCGTTTTGCATTCGATTCGATTCGATTGGTATCGGTTCGTAATGGTTTCGTTAAGTCAAAAGCAACCGAAAAGATGCGAAAAAAGAAAATATTTATTCGATTTGATATTATCGGGTAGCTCTCGCATTTTGGGCCTGCATTGAATAGATTGTATCAATTAATTTGTTCAAAACATTGGTAATATAAGTAGTTATCGAAAAAGTATAAAACCGAAGGTGCAAGATCAGGAATTAGCCAAGTGTGCAGCAAAGTGGCAAGCAGATATGTAAAAACTATAGTTGATTTAACAAGTTTATTGGTCGAAAGGTACGAGAGTATGAGACAGGTGAAAGTTATTCAAATAAAAGTTACAAAATTGTTGTAGTACTATGGCATCTAGGGTACAGTGAAGCGTTGCTATAAGGTAAGGTAAAAATGGTAGAGTAAAGCGGTTGACTACCAAAACGAATGGGGAAAGGGCCTCGTTTGGCCGCATCAATTGCATGATAGTAATAAAATCCGAAAAAACAGTCCTCAAGTCTACGGTAATAGGTAAAGGTAATAGGTAATAGGTAACAGGTAATAAATGGCATGAGTTGCTCGACTTACTCCCGCACCAAGCACACGGATCTGGCACTCCCACTCACCTGCATGGCCTGGGCCTCGTCGCGTCGCTCATCCTCGGTATTCATCGTAACAAACCTAAGTACTAACAAGTTCAGCGAGGCGGCCACGATGGCCAGGCCAAATAGTATAAATATCAGTGCGAACATCACGTATTCGGGCTTCCTGTTCAGTGCATTGTCCCGCTGCAGGGCTACCATGTCGCCAAAGCCTGCGAAAAGGGCATTCGCATCGAATCGAGTTGTTCGTAGTGCGCTTATTCCTTACCTATAGTTGTTAAAGTAATAAAACAGTAATATACTGAATCGAAGTAGCTCCAGCCCTCAAATTTGGAAAAGGCCGCAGCACCGCCAGCTATCGTCAGCGAACTGAGTGTGGTCACAACACAGATGAGGTCCACCTCCGAGGCGACGGTCCTCTTGCAGCGCAGCGAGGAGCGGACCGCTTTGATAACGTAGCTATGGGATAGAATCAAATGCATAGTCTCAAAATGCTGCATACTTATAGGCGCCCTTTTGAAGCGATGCCCAACTAGGACTAGAACACACCTGCTCAGTCTATTCACTCTTTCTCCGATGCTCTGGAACATAACGAGGCCCAGGGGAATCCCCACGATGGCATAGCACATGGTGAAGAGCTTCCCGCCCACCGTGCTGGGCGTCGAGTGTCCGTAGCCTGAAATGGTGATGGTGGTGGTGGTGGTGGTGGTGGTGGCATACAATGCTGGTTAGATAACTCACCTATGGTGGTTAGCACCGTGGTTGCGTAATAGAATGCACCGGTGAATTTCCACTGCTGGCCGGCCTTGTGCGATTCCGATTTGAGCACCACAGTCTCCATGACTTTGAAGTCCTCCTGTGAGATATTGTATTTGCGAATTATCATATCCTCGGCATCTGCAATTAGTAACGAGAATGCCATGAGTGCCTGCGACGCATTTCACACAAAGCCCGATGGCAGGTAATGTGCAAACTGTGCACTCGAACAAATTGGGGATTCCAAAGCGGAAAGCCTCCATATAACAGCACAAAAAAAAACTGTTTGGTCCATCGAGGCGGATTGTGGGACAGTAAGCGCAACTTTTTCGTGCAGTGCACTGTGCAGGGACACTTGAGAGCCGCACTCACCTTGCAGCGCCTCCCAACGACGCTTTTCCGTTTCCGATTCGAGGGCGTCAAAGACGGCGGCGCCGACTAGCAGATAGGTAAATGTACACACGATCAAGGATATCGTGCGCACATTTTGTTTCTTCATTCTTCAT